GGTCCTTCTCATGCACCCAATTTTGCCCTCCTTTGACTTCCGCAAGATGTGTATGATTTATGTTACTTCGCCAAACATAATCCCTGCTGATAGGCCATCTAATTGGCATCTTATAATCCTTTGGTGGTGGAATCAAGCAGAATAAGCGCTTTTCAAGTGGAGGACAGTGCCTCTCCAATTCTTCTCTTCTAGACAGATCAAGTTTTGGGAACAACGTTGCCACATATGAAGGATCATGGCAAGGAATATACTCATTAAACGTCAATGGACATACATCCATCCCAGTCTTTGGCATCTGCAGGGGTGTTTGGCGGTAAGTCAGAGCAACCTTGTTGTTAAATCTAGAAATGCCTGCAAGATCGCAAAACATTTTTAATGCCAACTGCAAAGCAAGTTGTACTCCAAAATAGCAAAATTTAAGACAAAAACAACCATCAAGGTACTCCGTAAGGTTTACTAGTTGAGATGTATGCAATACTTAAAACTTAACAGTAGTGAAATCAGCGTGAGCAGTCACTTCTATTCATCTCCACAAATACAAAATATTCATTGAGATGGGTGGCTGGTATACAGTCCCACTTCAATTATACTTCTATAGAAAAAAGATTATATAAGCACTTGATGGCCGATAACTTAAAACTGAACTGTTCTGCATGCTAAGGTCTTCAAAAAAAAGGCTTCAAATTCAATTCATATCAGTCAGCAATACTCTGAGCTCGCCCAAGATAGGACAGAAACAGTTTTCGTATGGACAGGGAGTGGCCGGAACAAGACTAAGATGCAGTCCAATTAGAATAAGACTAAGCTAAAGTCCAATTAGATAAATTAATGCCTAATGGCTCTATTTGACTAATAATTAGCTAAGAGTCCTAATAAATACGACAACTTTAGAAAAATGATAGCAAAAATTTTGTGAACTACAGCGTAGTCCCAAAGCATAAAAGTAAGACAAATAGCCGGAAAAAAAAAAATTATAAAAGTTTGAACTTGAGTGAGACATGGAAACTCCAGTTTAAGTCAAGAAATTACCAGGAGAGGGAGGAGGAGTAGACGAAGAAGTGGACTGAGGCTGAGAAACATAGACGGAGCCATTTTGGCCGAAAAGATATCCCGCATAAAAGGAAGCAATCATCAGCAGCAAAGCCACCATGATTAACTGCCCAGATTTGGAATCAAACGCCAAACCCAGCGCAAATCTATCCATTATTGTATCCTTCTTTCCTCCAGCAAGCTCGGTGCCTCTCCTGGGTTTCTTTCAATGTGATCGAGAAACACCAATATCAGTGGCACCCGGAATGCTGCGGCAGAGATGAGATCTCGAGCTTCTGAAACGAAGGGAGGAAAAAAAAAGAAAGAAGAGCGAAGAAACTATAAAAGCTTGCTCAACAGCTCTGCTTCGGCCTTCAAGTTCCCACTCACAAGATCGCTGCCATTGTTTATCATTCTGCCTTTCTTTTGGTACTTTCCTTAAATCGCCAATTTGCGAAAATCGCCATCAGTTGACAGTTGGCACGTGAGATGCAGGTGGGCAACCCCATCAAGCTAGTATATCTCCCTCTTTTATAATATTTCTCCATAAATTTTGTTTACCCCTGTTTTCTGTGTCGGTACTCGGTAATCATGAAAGATTCTCGTTCGTTATTTTGGCGCCGAGCCGCCGACAAGAAATGACGCGGTTTAAGTAATGCGAAAATTGACCCCGGGTGCTCATTTTTTTCCCTTCACAACAAAATTAGGGAAATAATTTCAAAATTATATAACTTCTGTGTCTTTATTATAAAACTTAACATGTTTTGTGAAGATTGAGAAGAAAATTACACACTATGACATTGATGTGATAAGGATTGTAGGCCGGTTTTGATGGTGAGGATGAAGCACTGATTTGAAGATACGGTAGGCCCTGGGGAGTGAAACAATCATTCATTCCAGTCTCTTGAGTTTGCCGTTATTCACTCACTATTTCTGGATCCAATCCATTAGTACTGTGTAACTTTTTCAGATTAAAAAAAAGAAAAAAGGAAGAACAGCTCGGGTGGATGAATTCGTCGATTCAGATTCTCGTTACCCAGACAGCCCATTCCATTCCTTTCCGAAGACGCCAAATTAACGCTCAAGCAATTTATGTATATAAAAAGCCAGCTCATGTTTTGTTTCTTTCAAAAACAAACAAATTCGTCCTTCCATTGTTCCAAACGCCCCCCAATTCCCCAGTGGCCGTGGTCCAATCAATATTTAAGATATTTTTAATCAACTCATTGCAAAAGAAGTCCTTTAAAAAGTAACTGTCTTTTACAAAAATGGTCTTTACATAAAATTTAGTATTTATTTCGTTAATGCATTAACTTTTTTCCTCCATCTTTATTATATATGAATTAGGGGTATTCAATTTGTCATGTCCCGATATTAGTGAGTTCGGAACGTGACAGGACAAAAAAAAATTTCAGGACAAAATAAAAACAGGATGGGACAGGACAATAATCGGGACAGAATAGGACACAGGACAGGGTGGTCCCATCCTGTCCCATCCTGTCCCATCCCATCCTGGGTTTTTTTAAAATTATTTATTAATAATTATTATATTATTCAATTTACTTATTAATAATAATTATTATTTTTATAATGATTTTTAGGTCTTAAGTTGTAGTATTATCTCAACAAAATCTTCTTCTTCAATAAAATAATTCATGAAGTCATCATATAGTGTTTCTTTTACAGTATTTTTTTATAGTATTGTTTTTATACTTTTTTATATTATATAATTGAGCTTTCTACATAATATTTTCTTATAATATTTTTATCTTTAGAAGCCCAATAAAAATAAGCATTATAACATAAAAAAATTTATATAAAAAATTATTGTATTTTTTTAAAAAGGGGGAAGCAGAACGTCCCGGTCCTGACGGGACGGGATACGAGACAAAAACCCTGTTCCGTTCTTGTTCACTAGGACGGGCCGGTCTCGATCCTGTCCCGTCCGGTGAATAATTTGAATGGAAATTGTGGAAAAAAAATTGTAGTCATTCATGAATTTTCTAAAGCGATTTGTACGAAAGACAGCACAAGTTTTAAGAAATGAATTTTTTTAATCTACGAGTGACTAACTATATAAGAAGATATAATAATAAGGTTTTTTCCAAAAAAAAAAAACGTGAACACAGAATGTATGCGAGGTTACCGCTAACTACATGCTCGTTTTATACAATGTTTCCTCCGGTGCTTAATATAAAATATAATTGACCAATTTAAAGATATTAAAAAAATTAATTAAGTTAACTATTTATAGTAAATAAATGTTGTCTTTACTAAAGTATTCTTATAAATTATGTATGTTTGAATTATCTATTGATAGTAATTCCTTAACATATACAAATAACTATAAGAATTATTTGAAGACAAAATAGATAAGTATTAGAGACAGAGTAAATTGGGGTTTTAAGACAAAACTGAATGCCAAACTAGTTCTTGTATTAAGAACTGAAAGTAGTATATTTTCTGATATACTGGGTTAAGTATCTGACCATATTTAATTAATAAGCTTCTTATCAAAGAAACGCATTCCCTTTAGTGTGATCTCTTTCTGAACACACACACACACGTATATATGCACCACAAATCACAAGAAAAACAACGATATTTATTTAGATACAGTCATCTGGAACTACACATGGAGTTAATATGAATGATAGCGACGCAGAACGTGGTCCTATTAATTATTAGAGCATTTTGGCGCCATGCCATGATAGTACTGCTATATAGCCATTGGAATGTTGCCGCTTTTTTTTTTTTTTCGGGTAGCAATATCACTGTATTATTCAATCACTAGAACTATAAAGCTCATTTAGTTCTTCTTTCTTTTTCTCACATTCATTTGCATTGCATGAAGCTTATAATTAAGTACACCCCTGTTACGTTTCCATTTCATTCTACTACTTTCTCCTGCGCTTTATTATTTGTTTCCAGTTCACCCAGAGAAGAGATGGCAGTTATTTAACTTACTTATATTTCAAAATAATGTAGAAGTACATTAATAGCAAACTTTCTTTTAATAGAGGAAACAGGAAGAAGAAGATGATGATGATGTTTGGTGCAAATCATGGAGGGTGTTTCCAGAATTTTCGGAACAGATAGTGGATGTTGAAACGGACTGAGTAATAATAATTGGATGGTGACAAGCAATAAGGAATAGAAGACACAACAATATCAGAGAAGATTTAAAAAAAAAAATCGCTGTCATGCCAAATTTTTCATGGATTTCCAACTTGACAACTTCAAATTATAAGCCCTTACAAATTAGTTTTCAATCTAATTAGATAAACATTGGGTTTGAGCAGCAAGTCAGCAACTGTGGAATCAGTGACTAGTAAATTTGAGCAAAACCAGATGCTACATCTCAAAGAGAAGACAGTGTATTGATATGCAACAATACTCAATTCCTGTGGGTGAAAGGTGCAAAATGAGGTTTGGCCATCTCATTACCTATCATCATGGATAATGAATCAATACATATATTTATTCATACATGAACATACCGTTGGCTGCTGCTTGCACATGATCATAAAATTCTCATCGCTTTCGTCTCCTTGCACGGCATGCTCAGAACGCGGCCAAAAAAGTTTCACCATCGTTCACTCTCAAACCAGAATATAGATTGGTCTCTCATCCTCATCTTCTACTTGTATCTTCCTAATCTAATCATAAGGACAAAACAGTTGCTCTCTTCTACCATCCCATCACTCAACCCACTTGTGCCATTCTACTTGCTGCTTAAATTTCTGACCCTCCTCTCCAAATTCAGATTTTATCTACTTTGGACTCCATACAGGGAGCTTATAACCTATTCCCCGTTTATAACAGTTGATTTTATATGGATTTTAAAAGAAATCTATAAAACTAAGTTATATGCTTGTTTCAGAGAATGAAACAAATATCAGAGATGATGACCAGATTAATCAATAACAAAGCCAGGCCAGAGGCCCGCAGATAGCAAGTTAACAAGTTAGTCTAATATCCGTATTCAAGGTTCGATTAACAATAAATATATACACACTCTCGCGAGTTCAAGAGACTGCAACTGGATTGGAATTTCTTATCTTTCAAACTTAAGCGGCAGTAGCAACATCAATAGAATCGCTGATTCATAGTTGGAACACTCAATAATTGAGTTTTTTGGATCGCGTTTGCGTGGCTTTAATCTCAAGCTTTAAACATTATACACCCAAATCCGAAATAAACATATATGTGATATAAAAAGTGAGAGGGAGGAAAAAAAACTGAAGAAATAACATTATTTGCGAGCTACATCATCGTCTGAAGATGATCATCTCTGCAGCTCCATCATCCGGGAGAAGTCCTGGAAGCACACAAAACCGTCCCCGTTCCGATCAACCCCTTCTATCATGCGCCGGCAGTCATCCAACGAGCACCGCTCCTCTCCTATGGCCTTGAAAACTCGCATAAGCTCCTCCGCCGAGATTTTCCCGTCGTGATCCGAGTCGAAAACTTCAAAGGCCTCTCTCAACTCCTCCGAATCGCAGCCCGGCTCGCATGCCGAACCGACCCGGCTCATCAGTGCCTCCACGCTGATGCACCCCCTGCCGTCGTGATCCACCTCCCTAAGCATCATCGTCACCTCCTCCTGGCTAGGCGGCTCGATTCCAAGCCGGGTAAGCAGCGATTCCAAGTCTTCCCTGGAGACAAACCCATCGTTGTCTCGGTCTATAAGCTTGAACGCATGGACCGTATCCCAGTGGAAATCGGGCCAATCAGGTAAGACGCTGGTGGGGGTTGATGAGCCGGCCACGCCGCTGGTAGCCCTGAGGATGGTCGATCCGTCAGAGGAAGAGGAGGAGGTTCCGGAGCCGAAGGACGGAGGCCCGGATCTGGACACGGAGGAACGCTCCTTCTTGGACCGGAAAAGACGTTTGGGGTTCATAATGGTGAGCTTCATGTGGACGTATGAAAGATGCTGAAGAGGAAGAGGAAGAGGAAGAGAAGAAAGGGCGGTTGAGGAATTCAAGAAAAAGGGAGGAAGGTGGAAGGGGGTTAAATGGAGGGAGTGCAGTAAGCATCAGGCCCATAGGAACCTTCCTCGAAGTTTCCTCGTGTCTTCAGCGTATAAAGGGCCACTATTTATCTTCAACAACACTCTCATGCTTCCCATGCCCTTAACCCTACAAATCACGTTGGAGACTAACGGCATTAATTTTTTAATTCAACATTTTCCCAACCATCTTTATTCTTTCTTTCTTTTTTTTAATTAAGTTCCAAGTGTGTGAACATTCATTGTCTCATTTTCTTCATTGGCGATTATTTATTATGCGTGCGAATGAAAAGTCGTTTTTATACCTCTAACTAATTACGGAAAGCAAGGGGGTAATGCCGCTGTCACAAATCACAACTCAACCAGACGAAACGGACCCCTCTTTTTTTAAATGAAAATGAAGATCTTTTAACGGAAAGAAATATTTACGGCTAAAAATAGCAGTAACAAACTGAAATGAAAACGTGGCGCCGTACCAGGGGGAAAAAAAAGTTCTGCATCGATCGAAGTCCAAACACTGCTCTTGGTCAGCCCGGGAATTGGGAATTATTGAGATTATTAAATGTTTAATCAATTGAGACGAGCACAAAGATTATCTTCCACCTTCTGTAATTTGTTGGACAAAAAGTAATTGGTTTGTGAAATTACCGGAAGCATTATTCAAATGCTTCCAAGGGTTGTTAGTTGTTCAAGTCAGATGATCCATACCGTCCCGCTGCCCTTCTGACAATAATTCCCGTTAAGTTTGCCACGCGTCGCATGTAGATTTTGCCACGTGTTTAAGATTGCAGTGTTGATTGTTAAATGATATCGGTTCATACTATATTCTTAAAATAATAAGCAAATGCTAGCTTGATTGGAATTCAGAATTCACATGCCGCCCTTTTGCATTTCCATTATTTTCTCATCCTTCAGTGCCGGCTCCCGTTCCGTTATTCAAAACCAGTTAACGGATTTACATCTCGAACTACGCCGCACCCTCCATATTAACACTACAGTACTTTCATTTTAATACATACAGGATTGCTTACCCAATTATCTGAAATAATAATAATAATAATACTCCTCCGGTCCTTATTATAAGACCCCATTTGACTTTTTATTTGGTCCTAATTATAAGACCCCAATCCATTTTGTCTCTTATATTTATGCATTTTTTTCCAAGATAATCCTTCTAATAATGATAGTTTTAGCCAATATACTTAATTAGCAAGGATATTTTAGAAATGACAATACTTATTTATTATAAATAACCAACTTAACTTACTTCCTTAATCTCTTCAAATAAGTCAATTGGGTCTTATAATTAGGACCGGAGGAGTAATACAATGAATAAGAAAGTGCATAAACTATTTTCGATTACATTTTTAGCATATTTTAATATCAATAATCAGAAGAAGAGGAGGAAGAAGCCGGACCATTCAAGCGACATGTTTAGTGCAGTTGGTCTGTGGGGATAGAGATGAAGGATAAGGATGGAGTGCGGGCACAGCAAAAGGAGCACACGGGGAAAAAATGTGGGACAGAGAAAAACAGGGCATTGAATAAAACATGCCACGCTCTTACCACGCGCATCCTACGCCTCCACTAGGGAAGCTTTCCCTGTTTTCTGGGCCTCCACATCCATGATTTTCGCATGCTCATGACAAGCCCTTTAGCATCATCTTCTACTTACTTTGTCGCTCTCTGCCAAGGTGGGTGCTACCCTCGTAAGTCCTAATCCCTCTTCCCCCCCGGCACGACTAACATATCCATGAAACAAGAAGAGCTTATGTTCGACAAGCTTTTTCCTTCAACATAAACTGTTGCCACCTGGCACTTGGCAGCAACCCCTCATGATTTGGACGAGTAACATGAATTGTTGAGAATACCACAATATGTAGAGGCTAGAGCCAGAAACTGGACGAATGACTCCATAACAAAGGTGGCAGTCACAAATTTCACCGCTGTCATGCGTTGAAATTATATGTACAGCAACCTCGTAATTCTGTACATTCCTGAGTATTCCAAATGATGGGCTACCTTCCGAAGGAAAGGAAAAATAGAGATCCCTCGGCAGGAATACCATCCGTGTTATTTACAATCTGGAAAGCAATATAGGGACAAAAAATAAAAGTCACTGGAAAAAAATATGACCGCCAAAATCAATTGTCAGCAATCATCTGATCCTTACCAACATCAGCATTAGAATGGTCCCTGTAATTAAATTCGGGGGTTTCCCTCGGGGACTTCGTAGCAGTGGAATCATCATCTCCGCAATCAGAAGTTGCGCTAGCAGCTTCCGTCTCATTTCCTGGACAGTCAATTTGTAAACATTCAGCAACTTCATTGTTGTTGTAATTTTCAAAATCATGGTTCCTATTCAAAGTTGTCAAGTCTTCTTTCTTGACAACATTAAACACAATCCCATTTTGGATTCTTTCTGGCTGCAAAAGATCACCTTCGGTTACCATTATGCTAGATCCATTCATGACTAACCTATGGTCAATTTCCCGATCAATTTCGATGCCCTCAGCGTTCCTATCGGGAGCGCTCACCCTTGGACTGTGATTATGATGAAAAGCTTGAGAGTTCGGATAAAGTAACATGGCTTTCTTTATGTCAGCGTTGACATCTAAGTTCCGGACAAAGTCAATGAACATATTTGCTGAAGTGGTTCTCATCAAGGGGCCACCAGATCGTGTCCAAGAATTCAAATTGACACTCTCAGATTCACTAACACTTCCATCATGTATGGGATGGTGGGTTTTCCAATTTTTACCTGCAGCGCCTTGATTCAAAGAGGGACCAACATCAGTTAGGTCATCCTCAAAGGAACTTGCTGAATTCTCTCGTGCAATGCAATTCCATGAGGGGATTCTTCTGGAAGCATTGAATTTGACAGAACTGGCCAGACCAGTAGAAGAAGCAGCTGCTCTTTCAGAACTTCTCTGGAGTCTTCTCATATGATTGAGAATAGCAACACATTCATCAAAAGCAAGCTCAATGCCACAATTTGCTTTTATGGCCGAAAGCTTCTCCCAGGTGCACCTTCTCCCTTGGTTGGCTGCCTTTTGAAGCTCCGTATAAGAAGGGTTTTGTATAATTTTTGAGTACTAGTGTCAGACATAAAGAAAAAAAGACAACACATGCTAATCAGTCACTAGTCCAATAGTCTTCCTTAGTAAATGGCACAAAAGTAGATTCCTATATTTTTAGCCAAATGTAAAACAGAAAATTGATCACGGCATATAATTCTGATTATTTAGTAGCTAAAGCCTCCATGATAGCCACAAGTTTTGCTTCAGACTATTTTCTAATTGAAACTAGTTTTTTATTTTTTTGTTGCCTCTTCTTTTTTTTTTTTGTGGGTGATAAGTTTTTTCCCTCTTCAAACAATATCAAATCAGCACAAACCTGAGCAATAGTTGCGGGCATAACAACAGTTACATCACCCTCCCAGTCTTGAGCGAATAGCTTCGCAAGTCCGCCTAATGGAAAGCCAAGTTCAAGTACCTGATTACATCTATGTTTCACCTCCATCTCAGCGAGATGAGCTAGCTACAGGATTGAAAAAAAACACAATGAACATTATCATTTCATGATAGGGACATTATTGTCAAAGGTGAATTGCAGATCCAATAAATAAGATGTAAATTCCACGTCAAGGATTTAGCATTATAAAATATGAATGAAGCTTGCTCATGCGTGAAAACAAGGTGGCAACTTCCCCTTTCAAGTCATCCAAAATTTCCAGGTATGATTTTCCAGTGGAGATTGGAAAAACAATTGGAGTTGGAGATGCAATGAAATTTTACAAGGGTTTTGTACAACAGAAAACAACTCCATAGTGCTCGATAATACAGAGCACGCCTAAGCACATATCAATAATTAAAGCACAACAACAAGGCTAAAATTCTACAACAGATGACTAGATGAACACATTTGATCCAACTCTATGGTAATTTGTCAAGCATCAAGGAAACACTTCTGATATAATAGATCGTAACAAAGCACCAGCTAACCGAAAGCAAAGGCACAAAATTTTCGACCCTTTCATTTAGCTAACATCACATCAACTCATACTTTCCTCCGACAAATCGATGTATCTCAGACATTAGTTTTATTTTTGGGGCGGAAAAGAGGTTTTAAAAGTGGAGTTTCATATAATGAAACAAAAGCATATTTTTGTATAGCGTATTGTTATTGTTTAAAGGTCCAAGTCCGTGATTACATACCTTGGCAGCAAAATTGCCTCCGTAAGCTCTCACAAAATCTTTCAATCTTAACAATGGTGAAATATGGGGATTGGCTTGACTGACAATAAAATGGTTAACATTAAACAGCTCTTTTAGCTGCATCATAGGTAGATCAATCTCCAGGCTCCCATCCCTCCAGCGGCGTATGGGTGTGGATCCTTCCTCAGGGCCCAAGTTAAATGGAGGATGGTAAGGAATGATCTCTCCACTTCTATCCTTAGCCATTAGTTCTTGAGCCTCAAAAAGGCCAGGAAAAGCACAAGAAGCAGTGACCGCACTCCATATAACAACATTGGGTGAAGTCAAGTAGTTAAGACATCTAGGTGGTTCGTGTCTTCTTGGGGAGCAAACTGTTATCCCAAGAATTCGACCTGTCATGTCATAAGCTTCTTGAAATGTAAGGTTGCTTGTCAGGTGCCTTAACATCATTTGCAGTTGTCTGATCTCATGAACAGCGCCTCGTGTCATGATCCTCTTCACAACTGTAAAAATCCCACCCATTTGATCAAAAAACTGTAATGAGTGCCAAGAATGCTCAAAAAAGCTTTGAAGTTCAGGCCAAGACCGAGTAGCGACAATGGAACACATAATGGAGCCTACACTAGAACCAGCAATTATCCTAGGCAAGAGTTTATGCTCTACCAGTGTTTTAACCACACCAATATGAAAAGCTCCAAGAGAGGCTCCTCCACTCAACAGCACAGCAGTCCTCCCAAATGCGTGTCTAGTTTCATGCATGAAAGCGAGCTTTTCTTCCAATGAGAGCTCCTCTGAATCAGAGTCGCAGACCATTCTTAGCTGAGTCGATACCTCATCAATATACTCCTTGATTAATTTGGGCACCTGAAGCCTATCTTTGTGAAGCTCAGGGTTACACATATTACCTAGATTTCTCACAAGATCAGCACGCATACAAAACATTATGTCTCTAAGAGATCCCTCATGCCGACGGTGGCGGAGCTCTTGCAGCTTACTCCTCACTAACTCTACGTCGTAAAATTCCGATTCATTCATCTTTGGAGTCTCTTTATCAAGCATCTTAGCTGCATGAGCCCACTCCTCGTAGGTCAATGCAGTTCTCATCATATTTCTCCAAAATTTCCGCCGATATGTCATTTCAGCCGTTGACTTCACATTTGTATATCGTCTCAAGACAAAAGCAATCATTGTTACCATTAATAATATCCCCTGTGGATTTCTTGGATGCAACCATGTTATAATGGGTGCCAAAAATCCCCTAAACCTATTTATGATATTGAACAATACACTGAATATTTGATGTCTCAAATGTGACAGGGACTTGTAGAAAAGAACTTTGAAAGCAATTGTTCGACCAATAATGCTCGATGGCCCAATTGAAAAGGGGTCAACACTAGCCTCATTGCTCACATCCATTTCCTTAGCGAAATAAGAGGTGGAAATAATGCTGGCCTCACAAACGAAAAGTTTCAAATGTGAGAAACCAAGGGATCAAATAATCTACAGGAGTTTAGCGATGGGAATAGTATGTCTTGCGATAAAGTAGAGATGAATCAATAATCAATAAATGATATAACACAAGACCCAAAAGTCAGAGAAAAATATCGACAAAATAAATGGATTAACTAAATTGGAACAATCAATGTATTAGGGCAACGAATTCCCCTTACGAGCTTCTAGCGCGGGCTTCAATAAGAAGATGATTTTCTGACAAGATCAGTAAAAGAAAGAACAAGAATTCAAAACAGCCCGATTGGATGCCCAAAACTCTTTAAATGGATCCCCAGGAATCACATCACATTCGGGGTTTTCAAGCAGGAGGCTCTCACGCGAATCAAAGATCCAGGTTTTCTAACTTCTATATGGAAAGGAAGCAACAGACACCGTCTCGATCCAGAAAACCAAAGCAAGGAAGGAAATAGAAGGAATGAAGGAAGTTGCGGCCAAGGAAAGCCAATACGGGGAAGGCCACACAAAGCAACACGCAAATTTGAGAGGGAAACGTAAACGAAAGGGACATGGTGGACGTTGGGATCCGAAAACAGATAAAAAGATATGGGACAATCTGGCAGGTACTTTTATAGATTCGATCTGATAAATGGGTGCCCATATACTGGTGATATGATTAGCCAGAAACAATATAAAAATACGAGGAAAATTGATATTTAAAACATTATTTTATTTCTATCATAGGGCGCTTGGAAAAGCTATAGCCTTGGGTGATGGGGAGGAGGGATGATGAAATCCTGGCAGCGGCTTCGGCTTAATTCCCTCCCTGCGCGCGCTCACTAGCTACCTGGCCTGCCCAATGCAATGCGATGCTTCTGTCATGACGTTCGGTCGATGCAACTTTTACTAGATTTAGTATTGTTCATGGGACGGATAGAAACCGGGACAGGCCTGTCTCAGTTCCGTCCTGATGAATAGTAACAGGACAGAAAATCTGTCTCGTGTCCCAACCCGTCCCGGGGTAGTCCCGGTTCCGGTCGGAACGGGACCGAGACATCATGAAGTTTTTTTTATAAATTTTTTTAATAAAATATGATTTTTTAAATTATATTTTTTTGGGTTTAAGCCTTATAAAAACATCTTTTTTTTCTTTTTTTATTTGTTTGGGCACTCTTAAATAAAAGCCCAAAATATTATATATAATAGTCATTAAAAACTCTAAACAAAAACTTTTAACACAATAAAAACTTGCTAAAAATTCTAATATTCAATAATCTCAAATCATTAATAAATATAAAAATTCTAAATAAATATATTTATAGTTCCATACAATAGTCTCAAATCTTTAAAAAAATAAAAAAATAATATTATATAAATAGGATAAAAATTTTAAAAAAAGAACTGGGATGGGGCGACCCCGTCCCATGTCCCGTCCTGAAAAATTTTAGGACGAGTCAGTCCCGTCCCAATAAGACCGAGACTGGAACGGGCCGACCTTAAATACCTTAACTAGATTTTATGGTGGGCCATACTCTTCTTCTAGGAAAGTGTATTCTGTTGCGATTCGCTCTCCGCCCCAGACACGTTGATTTTTATTTTTTGGCCGGAACCAAACACATTGTTTGGTTATATGTTTTATTAAATATTTGAAGAAAAATTGCCAAAAAAACCACTGAAAGGAAAAAGTTCAAATAAGGACCCATGATAATATTAATATGGGTTTTAACAACAATTTTTATAAACCGGTTCCTGTGTGTAATTTTTCTATTTTAGTGGTATTTTTTTGCTATTTTCTCAATATTTAATTAAAATGTGATATTTATAATAAGGAAGTCATATTGTTTTTTAGTCAAAACAGTTCGAGTTTTAAGATCATTGCAAACATTGATATTTAAGCAATAAACGTTAATGTCGACGGTGAGGCAGTCCTCGCAATGATTCAGCGGAATTATGAGTTTGCATCCTGAGTTTTTAGGCTATCAATACGTGGATATTTTTTTTTATCCAAATTAATGCAAATTATGAGTGGGTATTGCTAACTCATTAATGCATTAATATTTCTGGGGTCTTCGGTTTGATTTTCTTATGGGCCATATTTTGGCGACTCAAGGCCCAACCACTATCATATATTAAGATCCAGCTTTTGTGTGTGTGTGTGTGTTTTTTTTAATCCATAAAATAAGATCGGGTAGTGGCGTCGTATTTTGATTCACCCAATTTGGAGCATTATTTTTAATTGTGAAGGGACTGAGGGCATAATAGGCTGTTATGGGGTTATCAATTAACATACGAGATGGAGCTGGCTTAAATGTGAGGCAAATAATCATTTGCTTTTCTTATGCAAGCAAATATGAGACGCACCATGCAGCCCACCCAAAAGGTACCGAACATATTTCTAAACCGCGTTTGCGTCTGGATTTCTATATATGTGTGTGTGTGTGTAAGTTATTCACAGGGAGTTTTTTTCCCTGAATATAAAATCTTTAATGATCAATTGATGATTTTTCAATTTTGTCTTTATTTAATTTTCATTAAAAAGAAAGGATAAGAAAGTAAAAGTGAAAATAACTTGTAAATACAGAGAGAAAATTTTAAACTAAGTAGAATTTAAAAAAATTATTAATTTAATAGATTCTTTAATATGTCGCCGGTAACTTAAATTAATGACTTGAATGATACTCTATAACACAACAAAACCAATTATCAGAAGACAGGTGGGGATTGCGACGGAAGGAGAAGAAGGTGCGTGGATGGATTTAGGAAGCGTGATAAAATAAGGGGGGAATCTGGCGGACGTCAATCTCGCAGGGTATGTATGAGTAAAGTTGGGGGTAGGAGCCTCATTTACGACTAAACAAACCAACTCACATCTCACCTGTCAGCGCCTCACCGCGTAATCACAAAAGATGTGGTTTTGTATAAATTAACGGTACTATTACATACACAAATGGAGAAAATCCTAAAACGCACAAAGCTAGAGACGCATTGCGAATGTGGATGGGCGAGAGCGAGCTGTGTCTGCTGGGGAGGGTGTGTCGGGTAAGTGGCGGGCCATCTCTTTACAATACATGGCACAATAATCGTGGCCATTCATCCATATAGTCTCTCAGCCGTTGGTCGAAGCCTACTTTTCCCTCTCTCTCTCTCTCTCCTCGCCCAAGCTCCAAGTTCTTTTCAGTTTTCTCACGCGTTCATTGCAGATCTGATATGAGAAACAGAGCAGGAGAACATCTGCAGACGCTTCGGCGTCGGCCGTGCACAGTATATGCCTTTTTCCTTCTTCTTCCTCCCTTCCCCCTTCGTTCTTCCTCTTACTCGATCTCCTTTTTCGGTTTTTTCAAGTTCTTCTTCTGCCTTTTCGGGCTTGGATGCGCATTTTCGGTCATTTTTTCCAGCTGGTCAGAGCTGGGTTGACCGGCTTTAATTTTGCCACCCGTCTAAAATTTTTAATAGCCGCTCTTCTATATTTCTCTAATGGGTCTTTGTTTTTAAGCTCTCCGAAAGTCATCCCTCATCATGACAAGACAAGAGACTTCCATGTAGAGCCGGTAATACGGGCTGGGCCCACAGGCCCAGCCCGCCAGCCCACCAAAAAAGGCGGGTTTGGGTTGATGTTTTCCCAGCCCGCCACGATGCGGGCTACTCTAACCCGCATCGCTTTTGGCCCGCTCCGCCGCGAGCTAACCCGCCAGCCCGCTTTTTTTTTTTTTTTTTTACTTTTTCTGATTTTTAATACATTATATAATATAGTTAGATGATTTTGACCATTAAATTTCATATGGACATTACCTCATCCATATCATTATATATATAATTAATTAAGCACTTCATATATATGTATGGTTATATGAAGAGTACTGTCCATCTTTATTTTTATATCTATTTGTCGTTAGTATGCACGGCTTCATAAGATTAGATAAATATGTGATTTTCATATAGTCATACATACACACACATAAAAGATTTACTTAATTAATTTGGATAAGAAAACTAGTTAAATTAATTATTTATAAAAAATATATATGTTAGTTTTTCTTAAATTTCTTCTAATATTATAAATTAATTCTCTTTTTTTTTATTAGGATCCATTACTCAAGTTTAAAACTCGGAGCCTAATTTCAACATTTTAAATTAGGCTTAACTCATACTAATATAATAAATTTTAAAAAAAAAAATTTAGACGGGCTCGAGTTGGCAAAATACCAGCCCGCCAAGGTGCGGGCTACTTCAGCCCGTACTGCATTTGGCCCGCACCGCGGCGGGCTGACCCGTATCCGCACCGCCAGCCCGCTTTCCCAGGTCTACTTCCATGGTCCCACCGTCCACCGACTCATACCTTGGAAACCCCCTCCTCTCCTGGCCCAGATAACAACAGAGTTCCTTTTTACTGACATGAGCTTGTGCGGCTAAAATTTTTTCTCCGCGCATCAGCGTGTGAGAAAAGGAATGAAATAATGCTAAGTCTTCAGATTTTTTTAATAATACGCGAGTCTGAGTCAGCTCAAGGCCCATTAATTACGCAACACAAAACAACACACCTCACTAGTCTTTCCCTCTCGGTCTGACACCTTCAAGCCACCCCATCTCCCATGCTTTTGATTTTGACAGTGTAAGCTGAACATGGAATTGGATTCTCTCCGTTGTACTTTCCATCCACCGTTCTTTTTTTCTCTTCATGATTATTGAATCAAAACTTTAATAACTCAGATTTAATATTTTATAACATGTTATAAAAATAAATAGTATAATAAAAAATAAATAAATAAATTTAAATTGTTAAATCTAATCTTAACAGTTCACAACTACATACTGTTATTATAGAGTAATTTTTTTATTACAATTGTAAACCGTTCAGATCAGTTTTTAACCGTTTAAATTTATTTATTTATTTTTTTAATAATATTATTTTTATAAGATGTTAAATCTAGATTATTAGAATTTTGATCTAATAGTTATAAAAAGAAAAGAAAGGCAACGAAGGAGAAGAGGATAGAAAGGCAGCTTAGAGAATTCAAGTCCAGGTGAACATGCCAGCCGAGTCATAGCACATTTTAATATCAAGTTCCCGAGGTTGACAAGGCAGCCATCCATCACTGTACCGAAACTTCATCCTGGAATCTCTGTCTCGCAGACTTCTCTTCAATCTTTTCCTGTCAAGGACTACGGAGAAGCATATCTCCACATCAGGTAAGCATCAAATAGTTCTTTCTTCGCTGTATTCCTTTCATAATGGTCACCAATTAGAGATCGTAGCCCTTCGCGCTGAACTTTGATTCTTTCTGTGTGATAGATCACGAGAATGATCCATCAGACTTTCGAAACTGAATCTACCTCCAGTAGTTATGCAAAATCTGAAACTGACGGTATGCCGGAAACAGAGTCCTCTGTTTCTAGCAATCTACAAGATGGAGGTAGATTGGAACCCAAGAAGAAATTGAAGGGACTGAGGTCAATTCGGCTTCAGCGATTGTCAAGCATGAGGTCATCCATTAAAGGACCCAAATCCCGGAACGAAAATATTGATTCACAAAGTTCAGGACGACATTCTTCGGTAGTAATGTCAGATGCATCGCCCAATTATATGAAGGCAACCAACAGTTCTCATTCAAAGGAAAGCTTCCAGGCAAGTTTTCTGATTTTGTTTGCTATTGATCTTTTTGTACATATGGTTTGATTTATATCCATTCAAGATTTGAAAAATCAAATGTTACATCTTATGGGCAGAGTTCCGAAAGAATGTTCACGAGGAAGAACTTATCTAGAATACCAACTTTGAAATTGAGGAGGAGTTTGACCAGAAAGCTATCTGGAGGGACTGAGTTGAAGAGGAAACTGAAGTCGTCAAGATCAATCAAGCTCACATCTGTTAAGGGGCTGAGATCATCCAGGCAGGGGAAAAACCAAGGCAAGGCAGGCACTTTTAACGACAGTCAGAGTAATAAGCATCCAAGTGAGAATTCTCAGGTAGTTGTGACCAGAAGATTAAGTTTCAAGTTAAGCAGTCGATATATGTTCAGGTCGAGAAAAGTTTTTGAAGATGAAAGCTCTCAGATATCGCGATCATCGGACTCAAGTCTGCACAAAGCCACATGTTCTTCAACTCTCAAAGATTCCCATTTTCCAGATAAGATTGAGCTGCCGCTTGAAGGAAATGGATCTCAAGAAGTACTGTTAACAAGGAAGGTCTGTCCGTATACTTATTGTTCTCTTCATGGTGGTCACCGTGACAATGTGCCTCCACTGAAACGTTTTGTCTCAATGAGAAGACGTCAATTGAAGACCCAAAAGAACACAAATATGGGGAGTCGGCCTGTTACAAAATCAAAGCATTCTGGTAATATAAAGAAAGGCAATCAGACGAGTCGGAGTACCTCTAGTGAAAATCCCGTGAATATTACAGCCGATTCTAGCAAATCTCATCATCAGAATGATAAAAGGCCAGCAAGGGACCTGCCTGTTAAGAGTCGCGACACACCAGCTTCCACTTTCAATGGAGGAGGCTCATCTGGAGGAGATAATAAAGAAAACATAAATTTCAGATGTAATGCTGAGGTGTTGCTTGGCGAAACATCATTTCCACATATAACTTTTGATCAGTATCTCAACGATTCTCTCGCAGAAAATGGGTATGCATTATCTTCCTTTCCTGCAATCAAGGAGAAACCAGACTCCAAATTTATTGAGACAGCAAGCAAGGACAGTATATTGGCTGCACGCAATAAATGTGATGAAAGCACTCAGTCTGTGCTCATGGATGATCGGACTGATATCACAAACTCTGACTTGATGCTGCCTGAATATCCTGACATTTGTGATAAGCATTCCAGTTTGAAAGATGATAGTGTTGTAGCTTGTCACGAGGTTCATGGAGTGGAAGCCTCCGAAGATAAACAGGAAGAAAGAAACTCAATCCTGGAGCTGATTGATCCTGAATCATCTGGGGAAAGCTTAAATGCCGATGAGTACAGGAGTGTAGGAGATCAATCACTAGATAATTCAAAAGCATCTGATCAAACTATTGTTGTGGAGTTAGCTTCAACGCCTGCGGCCATGTGTTCTGCTTCCAAAATTCATAAATTGGAGGAAGAAATAATGACCAAAGACAAAAATATTGATTCAGAGTATGGAATGCTGCAGGAGACGTCTCCACAGAGAGAGTCTGAGCCTGCTTCCACCGCTGATGCTTCTTACAAAATGCCTGAAGGAGATAGGAAGTATATAAAGATGTGGCACTTGATGTATAAACATGCAGTATTGAATAATGCAGAAAACGGAGAAGACAGGCTTCAATCTGACCAGGAGGATAAGAAAGCGCAAGGGAAAGATGGTCTTTCATCTAATGGAGTAAACAACTCAACTTTCCAGGATACCGATGATGAAAATGAGAATGTAGTTAAGCTTGTGCAGAAAGCGTTTGATGAAATTCTTCTCCCAGAAATGGAAAATATCTCTTTTGGGGGTCGCTTAAAATCTCAAGGCATGGCTTCAGAGGATGAGCTCGTAGAGAAGGGTCAAGGTAAGGAAAGAGACGGGAGCACCTCAACATCCAGAGATTCTCCTCAAGAAGAAGCAAGGCTGAAACTTGACGATGATGATGATGAAGAGAAAGCGTCTCTGAAGACGGGAAATAAACTTGAGCCAAAAACACCAAAGAGCTGGAGCAGACTGAAAAAATTACTACTGCTGAAAAGATTTGTAAAGGCGATAGACAATGTAAGAAAAATTAACTTCGGAAAACCCAGACATTTGCCTTCAGATGCCAACCTACAAGTCGAAAAAGTTCATCTCAGGCACCTGACGCCAGGGGAGGGAAAAAATGTTGAGGAATGGATGCTTGACCATGCACTTCAGAAGGTTATCTCCAAACTAGCTCCTGCTCAGAAGCAACGGGTTGCACTTCTAGTAGAAGCATTTGAAACAGTTCTGCCATTTCAGGACATTGAAAATGGCCCCCCATCCTCTGCAGCAGTTGAAACTCAAGTTACTGCAGTTCAAGGCCTTGATGGTTCCTTAAATCTTGGCGAGGAAGCAACAGGCAGAGAGAGGGAATATGACCTTTCAGCCAAACTATTGCTCGGCAAAGCATTCCATTCTCACAAAACTTTCGAAGAACATGCTGATGACGCCAGTGACAACCCAATGGCAGAACAGCGAGGCTCTAATATGGTTGAAGAGGCCAAGAACAACCCCACCTCCACAGCCATTGATGGAGATTCGATTGGAAAGCAAAGTTTTGCTGGCAATCATGATAAGGAGAAGAACAACACGATTATTAACGATAATGTTTATCTTGCAGAAACCAAAGATTCAGTATCGTTGTCCTCAGGCATGCTAGCTGACAAGATAAGCACCTCTCTTGAGGAGGCCCTAGCTAATGAAATGGTCAACGGAGTTTCACAAGACATGATATCTGGTTCAACTACAGAAATTCCAAGTGGTAAATCAGAGTCACATGGAAGAGATTTTGAAACTGAGAATCTCATCCATGCAAGAGAGGAACCTCATTCTACGTCAAAAAGCTTAATTCTAAAAGGATTTGCAAGAGCATTGGGATCTAGTTTGGCCCCTTCAGCTTCTCCAGCTTCTCCAGATCAATCAGATGAACCAGTAGCAGGCAGTGAAGAAAGTATAGCGAAGGCTAAGCCAGAAATTAAGAACCTTGAACAATTCCCTCCGGCTGAAGGAACTATGATCCAACGAGAAAAACAGAACCACACAGGGCTTTGGTACTTGGTATATAGGCATATGGCATCAGGTATAGCAGCTAATGATTTCAAGCCGCTTGTGGATGGAGAGGACGAGAAAGAGCAAGGATATGATAATAGTGGAATCACAGGAATGGATACTTCCATCTCTGATGGAAGCATACCTTTGGCAAATCAACATATACCTTCATACGATCATCCTGTTACTGACTCAGAAGCTGGACCTGAGCAGCTTGAAGCCATCAAGATTGTAGAAGAAGCCATTGATGCGATCCTTCCAGATGCACAGGAACATTCACATGATGGTTGGTCAGTCACTGACAGCAATATTTCTGACAACTCCAAACAGTTCCATGGAGTCGAAGGAGTCAACAGTGAAGACTTGTACCAAAAAGAAGATAGGGTGACATCGGATAATGGAATGACCCAAGAACAAGATGGAGAACCAGAGTTGAAGGAGGGAAACAAACCATTATCTAGGAGTTGGAGCAATCTTAAAAAAGTGGTCATGCTCAGAAGATTTATCAAGGCATTAGAAAAAGTCAGAAAATTCAATCCTCGAGGACCTCGATATTTGCCGGCTGAGCCTGATCCAGAAGCAGAAAAGGTAAATTTAAGGCGCCAGGACATGGGAGAAAGGAAAGGTTCAGAAGAGTGGATGCTTGATCATGCACTGAGACAGGTTGTGGCCCAATTAACCCCGGCTAGGAAAAGAAAAGTGGGGTTGCTCGTGGAAGCTTTTGAAACCGTCATGCCAACCATCAAAAACTGAAACTGGCCATTTTGCAGAATAGCTTTGTATGGAAAATGCATTCAAGCTAAGCAAGTTGAAGGTAGTAACATATTCTCCCAGTATTTTTATTTTTATTTTTATTCACAAGATACAAGGCTGTTATGTAGTTTTGTTTTGTTTTGAAAGGCTGGGATATGGATTGTCTTATGTTTTTTCCCCTTCTCTGATGGGTGGTGATAGAGAACGAAAATTTAAGAGCATAGTGTTTATCAAGCACGTAAATACAAGAAAATTGATGGGATAAGGGAAATCTATCAGATGAGGAACACCATATGGGTGAATTTAAACTGTTAACCCCACTTGGCCATCTTACAGAAGGGGCAGCAGAGACGAAGACTAGTTGCATCAAGAATCCAGCATCCATGCTATATGGGCTGGATATAGATGAAGGCTTATTGTATCAAGTAATAGTTTCATGTTATATGTATGCTTCTAGAAGTCTCATTCGTTGATTTCCTCCAAATGTACAGGTTATGAACAGGGAAAACCTAGTTGGTCACAATCGTGCAGGATGGTTAGACAGTTTCAACTTGCCCCAAAGTTACGAGATAACCAAGGCCATTCAATATGCCTGTTAGGAACCTTTACAGAATGGGAAGTAAGTTGTCATTCAGGAGAGTAGAGTTTAGTACATAGCAAATTCTTTCTTTTTTGCGTTCATTTTCCCTTGTGAATGGGGTTGGATGTTTTGTAATAAACTCCCTTGCAGTTACAGTTTTTAAATACCGGGAAATGCTTTAGATGTATCATATGCTTAGAAATATACTACTAGTTTGGTCTGTGTAATGCCAGCTTCAAATAGCAGCAGAACTTCAATACCCAGTCTTCGTGCATCTGCAATTTCAAACAAGAATTTTGCACCATGAGGTGGAAGGACGACAGGTGCTGAAATTTCTTGTCATGCATTGAGGAGTACTTAACCCTTTTTTTTGGGGGGGGGGGTCCTCATGATAGTTTCAAGTTGAAGTGGATGGTTTTCGCTTTTTGGTTGGAAATGTAATTATTTCGGCTCACTATGGTTCTGCTTCCCCCTCCCTCTTCTTCTTCTTCTTTTTTTTTTTACACGGGTTTCGTTATGCTCTCCGTTTCGTCTGTTTCGGTAATACATGAAGCTTATGCCCATGAACTTGAGACACATTCCCTGGCCCGAAAAAGAAAAAGGAAAGAAAACAAAACTTGAGAAACACTCTGGCTTTTCGTAAAAAGGTTCTGGGAAGTCAGCAGTTTTACTTAACGGGCTCAGGCCTTTGCCTTTTATTCATCATTTAATCTTCAGCCCGGCCCATTAAGAAGTTGCTGTCATTTTTATTTATTAAAACTAACAATTTATTTTGTCTTTTAAAATTAATTTGATGTTAGAAAAAAATTCGACCAAAATACTATAACCCATTTGGCCTTTTCGACAGAAGGATTAAAAAAAATTAAAAATAGCATAAATTTTATATTTACAAAACATACGGTTTTCTATGAATTTTATTTTTTCACAAGCCTCTGAATTTTATATTTAATATCAATGTAAAAACTTAAAAATATAATTAACCACATATTATAATTATATAAACTTTATTAGTGTGCGTACAAATACATGGGCTGGTTAAAAAGGTTGGACCATTGTTGTTTTGGGGGACTAAAAGTGCGTTCGAGGCAGTGGTAGATCGCAATGGGTGTACGGATAACAATGAAGCGATTAATAAATTAAGGATTTATTCGAAAATTATAAAGGAAGAAAGAGTGGTCCTAATCCTATGATCCTAGCCTGTTAGCAATCAGCAGGGGACCAAATACCGGGATATGAAAAACAATCCAATCAAATCTGTGACCAGAAAATGAAATTTTTTGTTCCTTGCAACCAAAAAAAAAAAAACTTGTTATCCATTAATTTATAACTATAATTGTACCTGAAAACTCAAAAATTTATTGTAGGTATCCTCTTCTTTTTGCTTTCATTGTCCTGATCCTTTTCTTAAATTGAATATATGGGAGAAGAACATTTTATATATGTAAACAAATTGATTACCTGTTTAATCTAAACATGTAATTTTTATATCATTAAGCAACTTAAAGCTAAGATAATTTTCTTACAAAATTTATTACTGGAATGAATTTTTAACAATAGAAGCTATATTTAATCAATCAAATTTTACCATATCTCATCAATGCATTAATAAATTAATTAATGCGTAATACGTTTTCCAAACATATACTACCTCCGGTTCTTAATATAAGATCCTATTTGACTTTTATTTTGGTCCTAAATATAAGACCTCAATCCACTTTGTATCCCATATTTATGTATTTTTTTCAAGGCAGTCCTTCTAATAATTGTAGTTCTAACCAATATAGTTGATTAGTAAGGATATTTGAGAAAAGATAACATCTATTTATTACAAATAACTAACTTAACTTCTTTCCTTAATATCCTCAAATTAATCAACTGGGTCTTATAATTAAGACCGGAGGTAGTGCTATTTATATATATGTGATGGCCAAAATAAAAATGTGCTATATATATATTATATTATATATTTAACTGCATATAACGCTAAACATATTATCGAATCAGTAATCTATATAGGCTGACAAATAAAAAAGAACAGAAATTCCTTATTTTAATAATCAATTATTATGGCGTGAATAGTGTGCTGCAATCGACCATAAGAAAGAAACATTATTGATCATCGTATTAAAATTCTTTAATCGAATTTGTGGAGCATTTGAATCAAAACTCGGACAAAATCTGACAAGATATGGAACGAAAAAGGAACAATCATGTACGGAGCCAAAAAATAAGACACCGTGTAGTCCAATAGTTAGTGGAAAAAACTTATCCTAATTTAATAATACATTTACATAATAATTGAGCACATAATAAAAGACTCATTTAAATTTTTACTTGAAAAAGATACAATTCATCGTTGAGATATATATATATATATATATATATATATATTTGCCAGAGCTATTCATCGTTCATTAATCTGGCAATCATTGATCAGAGTTCTAAACAATAACAAGACTTCAAATTTTTTATGGAAGCATGACAAATTAATTAATATTTTCTCTAGTTATATATTTTAAATTTGAAAAGTACGCCTCTGGACCCATTTTTATGAGCCCCATTTAAACAATTTACATAAATTAAGGTAAAGAATTTAATTAAACTCAATCACTAATTGTAAGATCTCAAAATTTCTCAGTAAAAAATTATTTGTTAGAGGGATTTAGTTAATTAATTAATTTTTTTTAGTTTGTAAGGGGTAGCAGAAATAATAATATTCTATTTTTACCAAGAAATAATAATATTCCAAACACAACATATTATATTGGAAACATGCAGGAAAATTTTATAATAAAAATTGGAGAGACACTCTTTTTGAAAAGATTTTTGTGGCCCGTACCAAAATCTTTTTGAAAAGTCCACATTACAAGGAAATTAGTCATCGCCACCAGTAATGAATACCTTAAAATCAATATTAAAAAAAAAAAAAACCGGAGATACTTCTTTTCCTAAACACGCTGAATCACTTAAGTGAACCGACCTAAATTCTAAACTGACTCTCAATGTAATTTAATTTCTTTCCACCCAGGCAATCCCTATCATTCATCTTACTGCCATTCATTAAGAGAAATTAAAGAAATGAAGTACGCATTCACTATAGCTCCATTTAGGGGTGTTCACGGGACGGATCGGGACCGGGACAGGTCCGTCCCGGTTCCGTCCCGATGAACAGTAACGGGACAGAAAATCTGTCCCGTGTCCCGGCCCGTCCCGGGGTTGTCCCGGTCCCGGGATGGGACCGGGACGTCCCGAAATAATTTTTTTTATTTTTTTTTAAAAATCTAATTTTTTTAATTATATTTTTTTGAGCTTAAATCTTATAAAAACATCTTTTTTATTTGTTTGGGCACTCTTAAACAAAAGCTCAAAATATTACATATAATAGTTATTAAAAACTCTAAACAAAAGCTTTTAACACAATAAAAACTTGCTAAAAATTCTAATAATCAATAATATCAAATCATTAACAAATATAAAAACTCTAAATAAATATATCCATAGTTCCATACAATAGTCTCAAATTTTAAAAAAATATGAAAAAAATGATATTATATAAAAAATTAAAAAAATTAATTTTTTTTTTTTAAAAAAAGGAACCGGGACGGGTCCGGGACGGGACGACCCCGTCCCGTGTCCCGTCCCGTCCCGGTTTGTCCCGTCCCGAAAAATTTCGGGACGGATCCGTCCCGTCCCAATAAGACCGGGACCGGAACGGGCCGACCGGGACGGGCCGGCCTTGAACACCCCTAGCTCCACTCATTCTATATATACTTCAAATCACCCGAGGCTTTTTCATAACAAGCTAGAAAACCGGGAGAGATTATAGCTAAAGCATTATATATAGCTTGTGTGTACTAATGGGTGGAGGAGGACAGCTCGTGAATGTTCCTGTGATAGATTTCACAAAGGAAGACTTGAAGCCAGGCACCCCTTCATGGCTATCAACAAGCGAAAGCGTCCGACAGGCACTTGAAGAGTATGGCTTCTTTGTGGCTGAGTTCGACAGATTCGCTTCTGATGAGCTTCGAAATGGATTGTTCGGTTGTATGAAGGACCTGTTCGATCTGCCCGATGAAACCAAACTCAGAAACAAATACGAGGGTATCCCCTTGAAAGGTTACGTCGGACAGAATCCTAAGATCCCTCTTCACGAAAGCTTCGGTGTCGATCAGGGCACATCTCCTGAGGGCATCAAAAGTTTTGCTGATCGAATGTGGACTCACGGAAATGACCAGTTCTGGTACCTATAGCCTTATAAATTTTCATTAATTCCCTCCCTGCTCATCATGACTACTTCATTAATACTGGGCCTGTTAATTTCGTTGGGTTTGTATGTGCACATGCAGCAAATGTTTGTATGAGTTTGCGAAAGTGGTGGAAGAACTGGACCGGATGGTGGCAAGAATGATATTTGAAAGCTATAACATGCCAATGTGCTATGAGCCATACCTAAAGCAAGCAAGCTATCTTCTTCGATTGTTAGAACACAAAGGCTCAGAAGAAGACCAACCAAAACAAGCTTTCGTCACTCATACCGACAAGAGCTTCACCACCATTCTTCACCAGAATCACGTCAATGCTTTGGAGGTCGAAACCAGGGATGGCCAATGGATCAAAGTTGACTTCTCTTCTCCCACTTCCTTCGTGGTCCTCGCCGGCGATGCCATCAAAGTGACTTAATAGCTAGTTCATTTAGTTCGTTGTTAATTAATTTGGTCTAAGCATATTAAATTTGTGTATGAATTGCAGGTTTGGACCAACGACAGAATAGAAGCTCCGAGGCATAAGATAGTGATGAAGGGGAATGAAAGAAGGTACTCACTGGGCCTGTTTACCTTCATCAGAGGGATAGTGCATGTGGCCGCGTCGCTGATCGATGAAGAACACCCAGCCAAGTACAAGCCTTTTGATCATCTGGAATTACTCAAGTTCAGTTACAGTGCCAATATTAAGGACTTCTGTGGTTTGTGAGTGGCTTCTTGTGGAGGATTAAAAAAACGTGCTGTGTTCCGGGGCATATTCTGGGAACAACGTCCGAGTAGTGTTTTGGACGTGGGTTGTGGCGTCTATGTTAGTTGTTCTGTACTAGGGGTTTGTGCTGTGTTGTATTTTAATTTCAGAAACATCGTATCAGTAAATCCGAGCAGAAGCATTGCCTTTGGCTTTGGTAATTTTCCCTTGAGAATCCAAATTCTGCACAGTTTCTTTAACATAACATCAGCTACTGTCAGTCAGATCTGGTTAATAAGTCCCAAAAGCATAACTATTTCCAGAGACGTAATTTTACTAGCGATACACAAACAAAACCATTTACTTGTATTTTCTATTAACATCTGCCCGCCATGAACGAGTCATCATGAATAACTACATACATGACATGATTAGACCCAGTTTCTGGCTTGCCAAAGTTGAAAAGAAAGCCGATGGCTGCTGTAATGGCGTGAAATGGAAATTTAATAAATAATAAAATATTTTTTATGTGCTCATAAAATTTAATATCATATAAAGATAATAATTTCCTATAATATTATTTAAAAAAATCACAATACTTCATATACTTCACATTTAAGGCTTTGTTTGGCCCGTTTTTGTCCGTTTGTCTTGTATTAAGCTTGCATGGTCTGTCAGTTTGATTTCGTTGTTCCGTTTGGACCTCATTATATTATTAACAATTTATATCTCTCTTCGGCATATGTGTATATACGGATTATGTACGCACGTAATTCAAGTTCATCTGTAAAAAAAATAAAAAATCAGAACTCCCATACACATGCCTACTATATATTACCTCCGGTCTACAAACGAAGTCTTATAATTAGAATAGGAAGTAATGTATTTTTTGTTAATTTTTTTAATCAATGAGTAAAATTCTTTTTACTAGGCCGGGCTTCTGTTTTGATGGGCTTCACTTTGGACTCGCAATCAGTTCACAGGCCCGGTAGCTTAGCACCCCGCCCCGGGGGGGGGGGGAACGAATATTCCTCCTTCATCCCTGAAGCGTCCGAACTTGAAACCGGGGTTGTGTCTTTCGGGAGGCCAATCGAAGTCAGAAAAAAGTCACTTCCGGCTCAAGGTAACTTCGTTTACTTCTTGTATTCCATCATTCTAACCTTCCTGTGTAGAAGATTTTATGTGGGAAGACACTGTCTCTTTAAATTTTCTGAGACGTGAACAGGGAACTTTAAAGATATTCGAAGTGATGTCATACTCCAGCAGTTTTGCTGTGCAACTTAGATGTCCATATTGATATTCTTCACTTAGAGAAACCCTCGTGTTCGGTCTGCGTGCCTGTGCTGGCCTTATCTAGCACAAAACCCTCGATAATTATTGTGGTGAAATTGTTCTTGAGGAATTGATATGTTTTAGGACGGTTATGTTTATTAAAATTTATGTACGGGTCACTTTTGAATCCAAAATTTTAAGAGGACGAGAGACGAAATTTGCAACTTTGGACCTTCTAGAGTTTATAATTGGTTATGTTTACTCGTATTTTTAGTCTTGGTTTGTTTAATAGCTATACCGTGCTTTGAACCTCCTGCACGCTAATAAATCTGGGAGTATCTCACTCGCATCCTGTTGCCTGTGCCCTGTTGGTCCTTGTTTCCGGCCATGGGTATAAGTATGTTTGCTTACCCTTGTAAAATATTTATCGTCTATTTTTCCTATTGACTGCATGGTTTTTTGTGACAAGAAAGAAAGGAAAAGGTCAATGAAGTTATGAGTCATTGCTTAAATGATGAACTCAGCTTTTCTTTTCCAGGTACATCTCCGCATTAGTTAGAACCCCGAGGAACATTATATGAGATGGCTCAATTGCTGTCATGCTCTGGCTCCTTGACTACGTCATCTAGTAACAAATCTTACTTGAAACCACTTGACCAATGTTCAGCTGCATTTTCGATCTCTGTTCCATTCAAAACTTCCAGCTCTCCTTTTAAAGGGCTTTTCTTGCGAGAGGAGAAGTCAAAAAGTAGAGTTGTACGTGCCACTGCAATTTCAACTAACCAGGAAGCCCCAACTCAATCTAGTTCTGGCTCCCCTCAGAGCTCTGGTGTCCCATCCAAGTCACAGCGTGTTATGGTCATTGGTGGTGATGGTTACTGCGGTTGGGCAACTGCTCTCCACCTATCTAACAAGGGTTACGAGGTTGCTATTGTTGATAGTCTTGTTCGACGCCTATTTGATCACCAGCTTGGGCTAGGTTCTCTGACTCCAATCTCCTCAATCCATGATCGCCTTCGTTGTTGGAAATCTCTCACTGGAAAAAGTATTGAGCTCTACATTGGCGACATTTGTGAGTTTGACTTCTTATCTGAAGCCTTCAAGTCTTTTGAACCCGATGCTGTTGTTCATTTTGGTGAACAGCGATCTGCTCCTTACTCTATGATAGACCGGTCAAGAGCTGTGTATACACAGCAAAACAATGTAATTGGGACGCTGAACGTGCTCTTTGCTATAAAAGAGTTCAGAGAGCAGTGCCATCTGGTTAAACTGGGAACGATGGGTGAATATGGGACTCCAAATATTGATATTGAGGAAGGCTATATCACAATTACTCATAATGGCAGGACGGACACTTTGCCCTATCCCAAGCAAGCCAGTTCATTTTATCATCTTAGCAAGGTTCATGATTCACACAACATTGCCTTCACCTGCAAAGCCTGGGGGATTCGAGCAACTGATCTGAATCAGGGAGTGGTATATGGAGTAAGGACAGATGAAACTGCAATGCATGAAGAGCTGTGTAACAGGTTTGATTACGATGGAGTCTTTGGAACTGCACTGAATCGGTTCTGCGTTCAGGCTGCTGTTGGTCATCCACTTACTGTATACGGTAAAGGAGGCCAGGTAACTTAACTGTGTATCCACTGATGATATTTTAGATAAGTATGAGTCTTTTGGTCAAAGAAAAAGATATTAACTGTTGACTAAATGATGCAACAGTTTCAGGATGTGTTTAGATCATATGAAATAGGCAACTGCTCATATTTTTCCAAATAAATAAATACATAGGCAACTGGAGCTCAATTGAGATTTCAGAGAGTTTGCTCTTGCTTCCTTGATGTCATGTTCGATTTCTTTGTCAAATAACGAGGGTGCTTGAATGATGAAGACACCTATCTGGTTTTGGAACGCATTGCCATGTCGCCATGTACTTTGCTATCATGTCTTTATTCACTGAGTTCTCTTGAATAAGTTGAATAATTGATATCTTTATATGAGAGAACTTGATTATATGTATGCATTGTTGCTGATATTTTGCATTTGACATAATTCAGACTAGGGGCTACCTTGATATAAGAGATACAGTTCAATGTGTTGAGCTTGCCATTGCAAACCCTGCAAATCCTGGGGAATTCCGGGTCTTCAACCAATTTGTTGAACAGTTTTCAGTAAACGACCTTGCTGCCCTTGTTACAAAAGCAGGCGAGAAGCTGGAGCTGGATGTGCAAGCTGTATCCGTGCCAAACCCTAGAGTGGAGGCAGAGGAGCATTACTACAATGCCAAACACACTAGACTGATAGAGCTGGGGTTGAAGCCACACTTTCTTTCAGATTCTCTCCTGGATTCGCTGCTAAACTTTACTATTAAGTACAAAGATCGTGTTGACACTAAGCAAATCATGCCCAGTGTTTCCTGGAGAAAAATTGGGGCGAAGCCGAAAACCGCGACAACCTAAGGAGGGTTCGTAGTTGTAGACCTATGACTCTTTGTGGTGCTTAGTGATGCTGTATTGGCGTGTATTTTAACTGTTACGTTTGCGTTAGATGGAATTTGTTATGCTGGGAAACGGGGAGTTATGGATAGGCTGTAATGGCATGACCTTCATGTGGTTATTTAGTGTAAGCTTCTTTGTTCTTCAAAGCAGTTTACCGTAAGAGAGTCATATGCATCTCAATAAACTGCTATCTTGTATATTGTTGAGTATTTGAGAATGTAAGCCGTAATTCATCGATAAAGACCTATTCGTTTGTCATATAGGCAACATGGCAATGCTGCAAGTTCAACGTGTTAAAAAAAAAAAAAAGAGCACGTCGTGTCATTCGCATCTTGTATTGAGATCAGGAAGTAGACTACTTTCAAATTATCATGTTCACTGTTTGTACATAATTTTCTTTTTCCCACCATCCATTGGAATAATCAAGTAATGAGTCGGTGTCTTTATCATTCGACACCATGCAAAATCTCCTTTTCCATCCCGATCGTATCGGATCTCTTTTGATTGCCCTGTATAAGATGGAAAAGTCTTCAATTATTGGAAGTCCAGTTTTATTATGATTTTTTTTATTTACTTGTAAATTTCTCGTTAGCTAGTTTATACCTCATCCTCATGTACTTAAAGATATTTGATAAATGAGTTATATTTTTTCTTTCCGATAAATGATTATATTATCTCCGATCCTTAATATAAGAGCTGAATAATTAATTTGTGAAGATTAAAAAAAATAGTTAAGTTAATTATTTGTAACAAATGTGTGTTGATTTTCTTAAATTATTCTTATTCAATCATATACATTAAAACTATACTTGGGTGAAAATATCTTACAATCAATACGGATATTTTTGAGAACACATTATAAATTTGGAAGACAAAGTGGATTGGGGCTTTATAATTAAAAACGTCAACTAACTCTTGTATTTAAGATTGGAGGTAATATTATCTATCACTCATGAACATCATATTAATTACATTGCTTGTAAACTAAGGGCATAAATGAAAGAAATAATTAGTACAGCTCAAGTGACTCATATATTTGAAATTAAGAAAATGTTTCCAATCAAATGTAGATGATACTAAGAAGCCAGAGAATATACATGAGTTAAAGTGTGATTCTATCATCAAAAATTTTAGCGAGCTGAAACTAGTATTTTTAAATATTTTAAGGCACAATAATCTTCCCAATGTTCTTGAAAATGATGCAAAGTCACCTAATAAATCCGACGGCACACCACTAAACCCCCACACCACAGGATCAAGCCGACCTTTCTAGTTTTATAGGCATTAAAGCTGTTATATCATCCCTGATCTCTAGGCTTATGCTGGACTATCTATTTTATCACGAGGCTGATGATAGAAGACGGGCGGGAGAAAGATGCCTCAGCCGGAAAAATGAAAATTAAAGGAAGCAGTAGCGCTTGATTAAGCGATGGCGGAATCTTTTTCCTTCTATTCTCCTAGAGGTTCCCCCTTTCAATTAGATTTGGGTGACATATATTACGCCATTTCAAAAAACTTCAAACGAACTTTGTGCCTTAAAACACTTAAAGAATGTCAATTGCAACTCACTGAAAACTTAGGAAGCAAAATTGTACTTAAACGTATTTACAAATCGAATATGTAGTATATTATACACCCGCGAAAATTAGATTACTTGGTTTCATTATATTGATTAATTGATAAAAATGAATAAGATTGAGAGCCACTTTCTTTCATTTTTCTGGTCCCAGTTGTGCGACATTATTTTAAGCATCTTCAAATTTGGTCCCCGCGCTATTGGGGGCCTTAATTTATAGGACCACTCCTAATCGTACATTTATATATATTCCCATGCAATAGGACCTGGATGGTTTTATTAAATGTTTCAATTGATTTCCAATCCTTGGCTTGTTATCAGCATGATCGAAATCCTAATCTCTGCATGTGTCCTTTTCTGCGTCAAATGACGTCAATGATTGATCTCTCTAATTGGTCCCCAGACGATTAAGTACGGCCTTCATTTTTATTTTCTTTCTCTGCTACTTGGTTTTGGTTAAATTACGTTATTTAATATTTATCAACTCTTTTAATTTATTGGAATGAGTCAAAGATGAATCATATTGACATTGATATATCAAGTTTTCCAAGAGCCAATCGCTATGTCATTACGTATACTTATGACTTCAATAATATTACCAAATTTTGTTCCCGCATGCAAAGCTTTGACTTCAATTTTTACCCCAAATCTTCTGTTACTGAAAAACGATGCTTATGATCTGCTAAATACACGACTAAACTTTTATTATAATTACCATCAATATATACCTAGGGCTTGCTACTAAGAATAGTATTGATCTCTTTTTTCCTTGGCTATTATCATTCAGACAAACTACAAATTAAAGGATAGCTTCTAAGTTGCGTAGCTGCGTCTATCAAAAGATAAGTCTGCAACTATCCAGAATATGAAGAGGAGTAAAACATTCTAACAATGAGAGCTTTAACATTGCAATCTTGAAAAAATTCAATTTTTTTTTTAAAAAAAGATGCCTTGAAGTATAATGTATTAAAGGTTCTAAGAGTATCAGTTATGCATAGAAAAAGAAACATTTTTCTTGGAAGAACATTTCAATACTTTTAAATATATGTACACAATTGACACAAAATAATTGGAAGTATCCGTGGTTCGTCTGGGCCGGGGGGGGGGGGAGTTCCAGATTTATGTCTAGCTAGCTAAAACATCAACAAACCAATATGAAGATGTAGATGCATGTGAGTAGCATGTAGGATGCGAGTATTGTGAATTAATCATTCATATATCATGCAACTATGGATCAATGATTATATGGCATCATAGTGTTGACAAAATATACGTGAAACAATACATAAATAAGCTGCGGTGCCATTACATACACGACTCGCAATCGTAAATCCAGAAACGAAGTACATGCGATTCCAATTACAGCCCGAAATAGGAAGTGATTCTTTTGTCGGATTCTTCAATTCTGTGGGTCTTACAGAAGTGAAGAAATTGGTAGTGGTCAAAAGGTTTATTATAGCGTAAGGGAAACTGCTCATCCACCACCTCCTCCGGCACCTTCATCGTCTTACCCGCAAATGAAAACAGTCCCATCGAGTACCTCGTCTTCTCTGCCTTCATTATCGCTCTGTGTTCACACGCCTGAACCCTCCCATTACTCCACACCTGCGCACGTGCCTCATCATCGTCAAATATTACATTCACATAGTCCGTGTATATAATTGAATTTTGTATTTGCATAATTATAATTCATAATTCTGACCTTGAGAGCGTCGCCGGCCAGGACGACGAAGGTGGAAGGTGAAGCTTCAATTTTAATCCAGTTCTTCGCATCCTTGGGTTTCACTTCCTAGCCATCGAAATTAAGCTGATGCAGAATAGTTAACAGACTCATGTCGGTGTGAGCATGAATTCCCAAATCTGCCTCATGGATCTCTCGTTTTCTGTACTTGAAGCATCGAAGCAGATGGTTGTTTGATTCCACGAAAGAATCGCATCGATCCTGGTCCAGACCGTAGCTCTCAAACACCATTCTGTACACCAAACGGTCTACTTCTCCCGCCACCTTTGCATACTCTTTCACTATTTCACTGTCGAAACCGTTACTTCAGATGAGTGCGTAATAAATGAAGTCGCGACAAGAACAAGTGATATTACAAAAGAGTGTTTAAAAATACCAGAAACGATCGTTTCCCTGAGGCCACATGATGTGAGCGAAGTTTTGGATTCCTTCCATAGTAAGAGGATGGTCGATGCCCAGAGATTCATAGAGAGGAAGCAACGAATATTGGCCATAATAGCCATGGAAAATCTTGGGGCTGGTCTCTTGCATCTTGGTTTCTGAAGGGAGATGAAACAGCTGATCCATCGTAGATATCATTGAGTTGCTGAGCTCTTGACCCACTTTGTCGTAGCGTACAATGAAACAGCCATGCTGTTCCGGTCCACGACGCACGACCCGACACGTAGAAACCCATTCCTTTGAACCAGGTTTCATGTTCTCATCGCTGAAATCTGCCACGCCAAGCTCACACTTTGTTTCGGATCCCATGATATGGCTTCGCTAAGTTTCGAGTCAAAAGTTTTTTGTGCCCCTTCTTCAGATTTGATATGATTTGCTCGCTGTTGTGTTGTATGATTTTTAACAGCATTTGGGCATTTGCATTTGGTTTAAAAGCGACTTCGTAACAGCTTTCTTTATTATATATTTTGGGAGACTCTGTGCTGACGGGCCCATAATACATACATTCTCAGGCTTAAGGGAGGACCCGGGATCCCGGATATGGATATCCTCTAAGGTCAAGAACATGACTTTACGAAATGCAATTAGTGAAATCCAACCGTTCATTTAATCGAACTGTCATCGTTGTGGCACGAGTCAATATAGATTATTTCATTATTTCGAACTAATCAAATTCCATCGCCCCATTCAATCATTAATTCATCTGCAATATTCTCTGCAAAGTGCAAAACTCTAATAATACATTCACCCCTCGACATCTCAAAAGTCTCTAGATCATGCCTGCGGATCCATTTTGATTTCTGAAGACTATAAATCGTCTAATGAAAATTAGAAAAGACAAATAATTTTGCCTATGCTAATACACGGGTCACTCTAACTTTTTAAGTACTTGAGATAGAAACAGAAGCAAACAGATAAGATTCCAGCAGTAAGAAGAAAACTCTCAAGAACATGAAGACGTGTATTCACATGCAGGTCCACGTACGGACGCTATCTTGACTCGAGTCCTAGTTTATTTTTGTTTCTTTCTTCCCCAGGTTTACAAACTCCGTTATTTAAATAAACAGAAGCTAGACCATTGCTTGAATCAGCAAAATCCCCCAACACACACACATCCCATTTGCTGAAAAGAGAAACTGATAGATTCATATGAAGTTTAAGTTGCCTTGGAAACACCGCAATAAGTCTCGAGTCGCACCTCAGCAGGATCTTTGATTTTGGAAGTGTCGCAGAAGCGAAGGTAATCATAGTTATCAAATGGTTTATAACGCAAGGGATTTTGCTCGTCCACCAGCTCCTCCGGCACCTCCATCGTCTTCCCGTTGAAGGAAAAAAATCCCATCGAATACCTTGTTCTCTCTGCATTCTTCACCACCACTCGGTGTTCACACGAGTGCACCCTCCCATTACTCCACATCTATAAGTACGTACCAACCATCAATTCATGCATGCATGTACGCAACATTCATCAATTATTACTTGCTGAATTTCAATTTGAAGCATGCATTTTCGTAGATACGGCAACTGATGATATGGATTTATATATATATATATATATATTTATATCGTCTCACCTTTAATGCGTCTCCGGCCATGATGACGACGGAGGAGAGGGAGGCACCAACCTCAATCCAGTAGTCCTTACCCTTGGGTTTGATTTCCAAGCCCCCAAAATTGAGTTGATGCAACAAGGATAGGAGAGTCAAGTCGGAATGAGCATGCAATCCCAAATTACCCTCATCCTTCTCTGGTTTTCTGTACTTGAGAAATCGAAGCAGATAATCGTTTGACTCTAGGAATGAATCGCATCGATTCTTGTCCACCCCGTAGCTATCAAACGCCATTCTCTTCGCCAAACGGTCCAGTTCCGCCATCAACTTTCCATACTCTTTCATTATTTCACTGTTTAAAAATTTTAAAATATGTATTATACAAACCCGAGAAAGTCATAATGTTTCAGAAACTAATAATGGGGTTAAAAATAAGGGTGGGCGTTGCATATACCAGAAACGATCATTTCCCTGCGGCCACATAAGGCGAGCGAACTTTTGACAACCATCGTCGGACAAAATATTGTCGATGGCGACGGACTCGTACAGAGGAAGCCATGAGACTCCAAAGTAGCTATGGAAAGGCTTGTCGCTGGTGACTTGTTTTTTGGTTTCCAAAGGGAGACCAAATAGTTCATCCAATGCAGACAAAACAGAATCACAGAGCCCTGGGCTTATTTTGTCATAGAGTGCAATGAAACAACCATCTTCTTCGAGGGCGCGGCGCACGACAGCACAAGCTGAAACCCAAGCCTCTGAGCTAGACTTCATGCTTTCATCGGTCAAGTCTACGACTGCGAGTTGACACCGTGTTTGGTCGGATCCCATGATGATGAATTAATGCGTTTTTGCTTTGCTTTGATGTCTTATTACTCCAGATGAAAGTTAGAACTGATACAATTAGCTCTGCTAGTGTTCTGTGTTATATATACCTGGGGAAATCAATAATGGTCCTCACCTCTTAATACTCCTCCCGTCCTAATGGGCTCCACATGGAAGCTGGCAGGTCCTGATTTGGCAATGCGACAAAAGCATTGAGTTTAATACCCATGATATTAAAACATCTTTATGATTATTCCAAAAAAAAAAAAAATACAGTTACTACGTTTTCAATTAAACAAGTCTTCATATTTTTTGGAGTCACGTTTAATATTTTAATTTGATGATGTGGCAAGCATATTTGAAAAATATTAATATATCTTCGAGGACGCAGGGGTTATTTTCTTAATACAAAATACGTACATTGATTAATGCAAAACTTCCAAAACAGGATGATACGTGTGGTCCTCTGAGTGGTCCGGCCCGAGGCCTCGTCTCTTGTGATGTTGTAATGTTCTGCAATTATCCTCCAACGTTATTAAAAGTGAAATATAGTACAATGATATAATCCTAGCTTAAACTATGGCTCCTATGATTACGTATTCCGAATCCTAATTAACATTATCCAGTATCCACGTACAACATATATTGGTTTGTTATATTTTTTTTAAAAAACAAATCTTATAAAACCGGACCACAAGGGACGCAAGCACATTTCATCTGTAAGGACCACAACTACGCTTTTTTTGTTTTGACCCGAATCACAACTACGCATTTAAAATTATGTACGTGCCAATTATTGATGGGAGACTATTTTAGGGCTTTTACAAGTTCGTGTGTGTGTAATTTTTTTATTTTCTTTTAATAACAAAAAACTTTAGGTGGGTTAAATTTTAAGAACTTGTTAAGACTAAGGCATATACTTTCAAATTCAAAAATTGCCTATCAACAAATTCATCACATCAACAAGATTGAATTCATGATATTATGGGTGGCGGGTCATCAATTTTTTTTTGTTAAAGTATATATTTAGTTCTTTAATCTTATACAACATTTCTATTTAGTATTTTAATTTTAAAAGATATATTTTTAGTCCTTTAATTCTAAGATTATCAGATTTAAATGATAAATTTTTGGAACAGTCATTATTGTTTTCAAAATTAAACTTAATAGGTTAACATTTGATAATATTTTATCAATATTTAATATTTCAATGTTATCATTTTTTTAATAATTTTAAAAGTAAAAAAGCTAAAATAATATTTTTTTAAAGTCAAGAGAACAGAATAAAAAAGCTTTAATGTTCAGAGTTATTTTAAAAATTCAAAAAGCTTTTAAATATTTTTTTTGGGGAATGGAAAAAGCTTTTAAGTACGAATCGTTTAGACAGAAGAAGAAGAGAATGCATCGCGCGGCCGAGGTAGTAAGGTGCCCGTACTCTTTTGGTGCTCAAGTGGCATTAAATTGAATCCAATGCTTTAAAGTTTCCGATTAATGTTAAGTTTAAATTATTAATTTTAATTTGATTTTAAATTTTTTCCTCAATTTTTCATCATGTTTTTTGAATAAATATGCGTAGCCTTATTTGGTTTTCCTGTACTGATTGATCAGTTCATCAAACTTTATTTATTGGCCATAAAAATCCACTTATTTTTTTATTGCGTCGAAACATTAAGTTTCGAGATTGAATAATTCGAGGACAGGAAATGATTTAATTTGATGCGAGGCTTTCTCCGTTTCTCACCAAACCGATCAACACAGTTTACGACCCTCTCATAGAGTGTGAAGACTTTTTACTGTCTGACTTGTTATAGTTTAGTATGCTCTTTAACGATTTTAGTTGTGATTTGATGCGAGCCACTGTTTTTTTTTTTTTTCCCGGTTCGAATTAAACTTAGAATTTGAGAACTGGCCGCGGGTTTATTAATTTGGGATGTTTGCGTATGTACAATTCAGATTGTACCCGAAACTAAGAGAAAACCATAATCTTGATAAATGTACGGTTTATTAATCAAATGAAAATATTTAGGACGAACGACTAATTTTTTTCCACAAATTTTTTAATTAACAAAGGCTAAGTAAAGCCAGAGAGATTAGGAATTAATTTGTCACTTAATTGAGAGGCAGTCATGAGGATTGAGGAAGAAGTGATTCTGGTTCAGTCCAGAAAGGAAAAAAAAAAAAAAGGTGATATCTGGAGTCTAAGTGAAGATTTCGAAGTAATTAACTATTCAACACCCAAATCAACATTTATTCGCGAAAAAGGACAGAAGATGTACGTAACTTGAATTGCCCCGAAGAGGGAAGCAACCGACACAAGCAAAATCAACATTCAACATACAAACCTCAGATCCCCTCGTTCTTGCGTCCAAAGAAAATATGCTACTTGAGCCAATAAAATTCTTTGGGCAATACTTACAAGACCACTTTATTCACATAATAGAAACAAATGCCAAACATATTTGTTCAGGCGCGCGCGCGCACACACACACATATCAGTGGCTCAAACACCACAAAATTCTTTGAGTCGACCCTGATAATCAGATCTCAGGCCTTCTTTTGTGGCAATGGCCGACAGATATTGATAGTGATCGAATGGTTTGTAACGCAGTGGATGTTGTTCATCAACTAACTCCTCTGGTGGACTCATGGGTTGACCAGCATATGAGAGAAGTCCTATGCTGTACCTGAGACGTGTCTTCGTCTTTATCATCACTTGGTGGTAACGAGGGCGTATCCTGTCATTGCTCCATACCTAACCCAACCCATCAATCAATATGAAAATGTGAAATTCTTATGTTAATTGTCTTAAATGTATGTCTAGAGCATCAAGAAGAGTAGGTTTTAGGAAAGTCACCGAAAAAGCATCGCCGGCAACGACGCAAAACAAGGAGGGTGAGACGTTAACCCTAACCCACTGATCGTGCTTGTTTTGGACTTCCAAGCCTTCCGTTTCTTGATGCAATATGGTGAACAAGGTTGTGTCTGGGTGCGGAAACACTCCATTTTCGCCTTCATCTGCTTGGGCTGGCTCGTACTTGTAAAACCTCAGCACATAGTTGATACATTCCAGGAAACTCTCACATTTCTGAGTACTGATTCCATAGCTCTCACACACCATCCTCTTCAGCATTTGGTCTAATTCCACCAGCCCCTTTGCATACGCATTCACAGCTTCGCTGCATATGTTCATACATAAATAGCATCAGCAGTTATATATCAATTACAGACCGATTCTAAAGTGTATATATATTGCGGAATTAAATATACCAGAAAAAGTCGTTTCCTGATGATGGCCACAAGATGCGTGCAAACTTTTGGCAATCTTGTAAGCTCAATGGATTGTCTACGGCGTGAGATTCAAAGAGACGGGCTCTTGGTAATCGGCCAACGTAGCCATGAGCAGGCTTGTCACTGGTTTGTTGCATCTTGGCTTCTGTTGAGAGATCAAATAGCTGCCGCGATGAAGCGTAAATGGAGTCATCAACCTTGTTGTAGAGCACGAGGAATGCCCCGTGATCTTCAAGGGCGATTCGCAGAGCTTTGCAAGTGGAAGCCCATTCGTCTGATCCAGGCTTTAACTTTGGGTTGGAGAAATCGAACAAAGGGAGCTCAGGCTGAGAAACTGTTCTGGAATCCATCATATTCATCTAATTACAGATTAGATGATTAAATGATGCTCTTTCTTTGCTAGTTTAATTTTCGATCATACGTATATATAGGGAGAACGAGCATTCGTTTTAGGTTCATCTGCTAAGCCATCACGCTATTTTCCTACCGACATGGGATGATGTCATTATTTTTGCAGATACTTTATGCATCATTGGTCCAATCCGTCTTCGTCATGTGCCTGAAAAAGATTTCTGAACCGCGATCTGGTCCATTATTTTTGGCCTCTGTATCTTTTTTTTTCAATTTATAAAGTGTAATCATTCAAATGAAACTTGGATCGGATTATTGCTTGACTTGCGGTTGCCATGCTCGATCAACACAATCTTTTTTCCTTAATGATAAAAGGTTCTTTTTCCTAAAAAAAAAAAATTATAACCACAGTATCAGTTGCATGAGATTACAAATGAAATTCAACCTATAATTAACCTGGTTCGGAACTTCTCCTCTTTTCTTTTCATTGTCTTTCCTCTTTTCTTTTTTAACCGTTAGATCAATATATTTTAATGGTTTAGATTTTAATTTTTTATAAACTATTTACAAAATTTTTTTTAAAAACATTTAGTACACTTGCAAACTATTAGAATTAAATTTTAATATAGTTTGTAATTTATTATTTATTTATTTTTATAATTTAATATTTAATAATAGTTTTAAAAAGATTTAAATCTGAGCTGCTAAAATATTAATCTAATAGTTAAAAAAAATGAAGAGAAGAGAAGATGGTCAGAAGAAAAGAGAAGTTCCGAACCGCTAATTAACCTTCAATATGTAGGGTAGCTTTCATATGTTCATATTAGGTCATTTGCTAATAATAAAAAGTTTAGGTGAGCTCATGTGTATGGCTCAATATGTGTAGGGCATGCCAGACTCAAGAAATATTTATAAATTATCAAAAATGAATTTTATTGCTATAAGAAATTGTTAGTTGATTGTTGATTATTTTGAAATGAATAAGAGATATTAAAAACACTAATTTAAAAATATATACAAGTTTTTGAAAAAATTATAAGTATAAATTTATAACAAAATAAACTCACAACTGAGTTAT